CTGAGGGGTCTCATGTACTTGAGCTTCTGGCTGAAGCAAATGAGTCAGATGGGACGGCTGAAATAGCGTGCCATAACGGGCCTCGCAGCTTCACACTTGCCGGACCTACCAGATCGATCGAAAGGGTCGCTGAGGTGATAGCAAGAGACGCCAGATTCCAGTCCATCAAGTTTAAATGGCTCAACGTGACCAACGCTTTCCACTCAAGCCTGGTTGATCAACTGATCCCGGAGTTGGAAACCATTGGTAGAGAACTAGAGTTCAAGGAGCCTTCAATACCACTAGAACGAGCAACTCGTACCAGGATCGACTCCAAGCCAGACGATAAATTCGTCTCGGAGCATATGAGAAATCCAGTGTATTTCAACCATGCTATACAGCGACTCGCGAACGATTACCCCTCCGCTGTCTTTATCGAAGCGGGATCGACCTCTGGTATCACCATGATGGCGAGTCGTGCCTTGGCAGGACACAAAGATTTCAGTTCACAGTACTTCCAAGCAATCAACCTTACAAGCGAGAAGGCATTGGACAATCTCACAGACGCCACCTTGTCCTTGTGGAATCAGGGGCTGTCCCTTGCTTTCTGGGGTCACCACACATCACAGAGCAGCGAATACACCACGATGATGATACCACCATATCAATTTGAAAGGTCTAAGCACTGGCTTGAACTCAAATCCCCTCTTCAAGCTGTAAATGCTGCTGCTGCTGTACTTGGACCCCCACAGCCCACTGCCGAGGGCAATGAAACAGTTCATGGGAAAACAGAAGGTCTGTGGAGTCTGGTTTCTGGCCACGCAGACAGCCCGGTATTCCGTATCAACACGAGCTCAGACAAGTACAAAGGCTTCATCTCGGGTCATTTGATCGCCCAAACCGCTCCCATCTGCCCTGCTACCCTCATGGTAGATATGGCTATCGAGGCACTGTTTAGCATCAATTCAGAATGGAGGGAAAACGACTTTCTTCCTGTTATTCACCACATGGTCAACCACTCGCCACTCTGCGTCAGCTCTTCACTTACTACCTATCTCAAGTTTGAGCCGCTAGGTGATCAAAGTAGCCACTGGAAGTGGAGGATTTATAGTTATGAGTCACAATCAGACGAGAATCATGCGGAGACGCATGTTGAAGCTGAGATTCACATCCGAGATCCTCTTGATAGAGGCTATCAATCGGAGTTCTCACGCTTCGATCGACTAGTCACGCACACCAACTGCACAAAGATGCTTCAGCTCGGCTTGGGTGGGCATCAAGTTGACCGGGTTGACGTTCTGACAGGCCGCAACATATACCGCACGTTCTCTGATGTTGTCGACTACGGTGACTTGTATCATGGCGTCAGAGCTCTCGTCGGCACTTCAACTGAGTGCACAGGGCATGTTGTCAAGAAATCCTCTGGAAACACCTGGCTTGATGTACCGCTCAGCGACTCCTTTAGTCAAGTCGGCGGCATCTGGGTGAATTGCATGACCGACTGCGATCCAGCTGATATGTTTATTGCCACGGGTTGTGAGTTGTCTATGCGGTCCCCATTTGTCGAGCAAGATTCCGATCAGATCCAGGAGAGCTGGCATGTATTTGGACGGCATACTCGCCAGTCTGAGAAACTCTGGGTTTCAGACTTGTTTATCTTTAATGCATCAACTGGACTATTACGTGAGGTGATGCTGGGTATTCAGTATGCGCGAGTCGGAAAGGCCTCTATGCGCCGTATGTTGACGAGGCTGACTACTGATCCGTCAGCTCTGAAATTGAAGCCAGCAACAGAAATTATCTCCAAGCCCGCCGAACCTATACTCACTCCTCCTCTGTCCCCGACACATGTGGCTCAAGACAAAGGAACTTCCAAAGAAGAGGGGGTTTCTATCAAGCCCAAAGCCGCTACTCACCCAGATATCACGGAGGACGTTAAGAAGCTTGTGGCTCATGTGGCAGGAATAGAGGCTGGCGATATCACGCTCGATGCCGAAATGGCGGATTTTGGTATCGACTCACTTATGGGCATGGAGGTCGCTCGTGAGGTTCAGGTCGTTTTCAAGTGCACCTTGGATCAGAACGAGTTGATGGAGGCAACAAGTCTCCGCAAGTTTGTCGTGTGCATATCGAAAGCGCTATATGGCCCTGATTACGATAGCACCTCAGCTTCAGGGACCGATGATAACAGCGAGTCGTCTGGTCACTCGTCTGATTCGAGCAAGGGGTCAAGCTTGAATACACCCCCAGAGCTCGACCTGGCACAGACTCCACCAAAACCTTCATCTTCTATGGATTCGAAACCGGTATCAAGCAATATGCAGCTCTCTGAGTCTGATGTTTTGGCATCATTCGCTCAGGTGAAGCTTCTCTGCGATGAGCACCTTTTAGAATTTAAAGTGGACAATATCGACCGTGAGGTCTTGGCTGGCTCCAGTCGTCTCTGTGTCGCCCTTGTCGTTGAGGCTTTTGAACAGCTGGGTGCCTCTCTAACGACTGTAGAGCCTGGACGAATCCTCGAACGCATACAGTTCCCGCCAGCTCACACAAAATTAGTGGACTTCATCTATAGATTCCTTTCTGATGATGCCCGCCTTATCGATATCAACGATACAACCGGACAGATCACGCGTACAAGGGTTCCTACTCCTCGTAAGACAAGTTCGCAGATACTCGAAGAGCAGCTGGCCAAGTATCCCGAGTTTGTAGTGGCCAACAGACTCACCTACTATGCAGGAACCCACTTGGCCGATGTTCTCAAGGGAAAGACAGACGGCCTTCGTCTTATCTTTGGAAGTATCGAGGGTCGTGATCTAGTACAAGCATTGTACTGTGACCACACTTTCAACCGAATGAATTACAACCACATGAAGCTTGTCATAGAGAATCTTGTGGAGAGACTTGGAAACAGTCAGCCGGGCGAGACGCTGAAGATCCTCGAAGTAGGTGCTGGAACTGGAGGGACAACCCATGTCTTGGCGCCACTGCTAGCAAAGCTCGGAATCCCCGTTGAGTACACATTTACAGATATATCTGGATCTATGGTTGCAAACGCCAGACGCAAGTTTGGCAAATCATATCCCTTCATGAGATTTGCAGTTCACGACATCGAAACGCCGCCAGCTGAAGATCTGAAGGGCCAGCACATCATCATTGGTAGCAACGCCGTGCATGCAACCAGGAATCTTGTGACTTCTGCTTCTAATTTAAGAAGTGCACTGCGTGCCGATGGTTTTTTGATGATCCTGGAGATGACCGAATCTGTACCCTTTGTCGACATCATCTTCGGTCTCCTCGAGGGCTGGTGGCTGTTCGACGATGGCCGGAAGCATGCCATTATTACCGCTGAGGAATGGGAGCGTAATCTTCACAACGCTGGTTACGGCCATGTTGACTGGACTGATGGATCATTGCCTGAGAACACTTTCCAGAAGGTCATCATCGCTCTCGCATCAGGAAAGCCCCAACATAGGCTACCCAAATCAACCTTGAGCAAGGCAGCAGTTGAGGAGTCGATAAGCAAAGAGCAGGAAAGGCAGAGAGAGTTGGAAATTGAACGATATATTTCTAAGTACTCGGCTGGCTTTGAGGTACACAACGAGGTACAAGACGCCTGCCCAATCATGCGGACCCAGAGCAAGAAGGCTGTTGTTCTCTTGACTGGCGCTACTGGTAGTCTTGGCTCTCACCTAGCCAGCAGTCTTGCGAGTAACGACCACGTGGAAACAGTTGTCTGTATCAACCGCCGAAGTAGGGCACCAGTTGAAGAACGACAGGACGAAGCTTTCAGGTCTCGCGGGATTACACTCACTTCTGCTCAGCGATCCAAGTTGCGTATTCTGGAAGTAGATGCCTCGAGCTCCAACCTAGGCCTCCTCACGTCCGATTATGAATGGCTGGTGCAGAATGGGACACACATTATACACAACGCTTGGCCAATGAGTGGAACTCGTCCTGTCAAGGCATTCGAACCTCAATTCCAGGCTCTCCGTAACCTCTTGGACCTTGCACGGGACATGTCACGTCGAAAGGATGCTCCTCGTATCACGTTCCAGCTCGTGTCTTCTATAGGTGTTGTCGGTCACTTCAACTCCTCCCGAGTTCCAGAGGAGCGTGTTTCCCTAGGATCTGTGCTTCACATCGGTTACTGTGAAGCGAAATGGGCATGCGAGCGTATCCTCGATCAGACACTGCACAAGCATCCAGATGTCTTTGATACCACGGTTGTGCGTCCTGGACAGATCGCTGGTTCAAGCAAAAGCGGCTTTTGGAATCCCATAGAACATTTCGCATTCCTCGTCAAGTCGGCCCAATCCCTCCGTGCATGGCCCGATTTCGATGGCGTTGTGCAATGGGTCCCAGTGGATACTGTGGCTCATACCATGGTTGATCTCCTATATCTGGGAGATATAGATCGCCCTGAGCCGCATCCCGTCTACCATATCGATAACCCAGTTGGGCAGCCCTGGAAGATCATGTCACAGGCATTGGCGGGTGCTCTCGACATTCCGCCTCGACGCATTATTCCTTTCAGCCGGTGGGTAAAGCTGGTTCGTAACTCGCCACTCCCAGCCGAGACCTGGAACCCGGCTGCACGACTTATTGATTTCTTGGATTCTAACTTCGAGCGCATGTCTTGCGGTGGTTTAATTCTCGACACTGTGAAGGCACAGAAGCACTCTAGTACTCTGTCAGCGCAAGGTCCTGTCACTACAGAAATTGCTGTGAAATACATAAAATACTGGAAGGGGAGCGGTTTCTTGGCTTAGATTTACAACAGGTTTTAATTGCAATAAAGAATGAATCTTATTTCTGTGTTCTAAATGCCCCTTTATTAAGATGTATATTTTTATCCCAGTGGCCAAGAAATTTGTAATGCTTGGGGTTGCTAATCTGGCAATAAACCTCTTATGCGTAGTGTATTATCAGACTGGAAAAAAACTAGATAATTATCCAGTAATAAACTAATATGAGAAAGCAGTAAATGAAATGAAATCGTTTGGTTAAAATTATTATATTTATTAATATAGATTTAAGTTTAAATCTAAGGGTATTATGTCCAGAGTATTTACAAGTTCCAGCGCTGACGCTATTGGCCAATCCCAAATATTCCATTGAAGCTGATCAAGATCAGGCAGTGTTTCCAACTCAGAGAATACCTTCTTGCAAAGTAGCTCCAATACGTCAGCACACTGGCCAATATGGTTCCCGACATCATCCGTATGCCGATGAAACTCCCTCAGAGTCGCAATGCACATTTGAATCAGATTCTCGTCTTGATCGACTGATACAGGATACCCTTTCCAGCCTGTAAACAGGATTGTTAACCCTGCTTGCCATAACATATGTATTCCATTGGGATAGAGGAGTGTGACAAGCAAAGATTTTGGCCAGTCGCCCATCATGACTTGACCTGTGGCATGATTGGCTCCTAGCGTGCCTAGACAAGAAGATAGTAACTCAACAATCTTTGCAGAAGCTTGCCCACATGCTTTGAGAGATGACACGAATTGGGTATCTGCAGATGTAAAAGACAAAGCCGGTCGATGTATGTGAATTGTAGCAACGCAGTGCGCAACTCTCAAAAACGTGACCTCTAGAGACTTAGTAGTCACCGACGTAGTAGGCTCAGGTTCAAGCTCAGGTTCAAGGACAACCTGCTCCCACATGTTGAGCTCAGCTTGTAGACGTACAATCTTAGCAACGCCTCCTCGGCGGCGGGTTGTAGTGTAGAGGTCTTCAAGAGTACGGCCCATGATGCGAGCAAGCTTGAAAAGACTAATGGCTGTATCTACTTGCGATCGCTCACCCGGTAAGGGGAATTCCACACGGGTCCGAGACAAGAGGTTATGATCAACACTTGTCGGAAAATCGGTATCAACATCTTGTTCGCGAATCAGACGCGGCATCCCATGATAAGCGCTTGAGAACCTGTCGAAGGAGTCAGTAAAAACGCAACAGTGTGGATAATTGAGGGACGGGCATACGCATCTAAAGAATACTGGCACCACCACGCCCGCCTTCTCAGTTCCGTTTCCAGAGGGTCGAACTTGAATCGATCAGAATGTCGATGCAATCCCAATGTCTGAGCCATTCGGGTAGCTAGTCCGGATATATGTGATGCTGTTGAATAGCGCCCTGACAACTGAACATATAGCTGGGTGATAACCAGACCTTGCAAGCTTTGCAAACATGTCTGACCAATGATTCTTTCAAGCAAAGTAGTGGAAATCATATAAAAAGGTTCAGAGGCACACAAGAAGTGATTGTGTTGCTGTATACAATCTCGTTTCTGTCCAACCGTTCCTAATGCAAGTAGAGCAAGTGTTTGATATAGAATAACAACATCATAGCCTGGACTTTGATACGAGCTCAGCAGCCCATGAATTGCATCGATTGTCGATGACTTATGAACAATAGGATACAATGGCGTCCATCGGTCTATAGTTGCTTCCACAATCGTGATGGTGTTCGGAGGAAGTTGACTGATAATATCCACCACTGGCGACTCAGAACTATGGACTGAAGCTCCCCAAGGGTTATGGAGGTATAGGCCATATGCACAGCTGGGAAGTGCATCCTTATGCATGTGGAGAAGTTGAAGCTGCTGTTCAGCCTGACTTATGAAGTGGACGCCGGTAGTTGAACCGCCAAACATGGGTGCTTGTCGATCGTCAGCTACAAGACGGCCCATATGACCAATCACAGGCTCCTTCACGGTGTTTAGAGAACTGGGTTGAGAGGGGGCTTGGTCGGTGCTCGTTTGACGACCAGATGAGCTGGGTGCAGTAGGTAATGGTGTTCCTTGAATAGCCGGCTGGAAGGAAAGCGGCAGGGGAGTTGCGGTAGCTGTAGGAGTAGAATTTGGAACTACTGCATTCTGGAGAGAGTAGCTGGTATGTGTGACATGCTGGGAGGTATCTGTTGGTTTTTCACGGCGCTGCTCAATTCCTTCGGCCTCGTAAAAGCTACAGTATGTTAGAAAGCGCTTGGGTAAGAGGTAATAGAAAGCTATGTCTTGCCTTTTGCGTTTCCTATTCCTCTTCAACTTAGCAGTTGTCACACATACGACGTTGGCTTGGACACATGGAGAGCACTATGAGAAGGGATTAGTGACACTTGAGCAAGCTGACAAAGCATACTGTTTACATCATTTTCTTCGCCGTGACATCGAATCTTTCTTCTAGAGCGTGTATCAGTAAGGAGCTCTGCTTGCGGGTTATCGTATCGTTGTGAAGATGATCCAGACTATGCGGGTGTCTTCAACATGGGACATACCGTCGACAACGATCACTATTCAACTTGCATTAGTATGAGGAGCCCTAGAAACTGGGAATTAGTTGCAAAGGGCGATGCTAGCCTACCATACTTGACCAGGAACTCGATTAGTTGGCGAACTTAATCGCGCTTCGCCATGAGTTGAAGTCATGATGAAGGTTATAAAGATCTTGTTGCATTGTCCGAAAAATGACGGAAGTTTGTTCCCTGGTGCGGGGTCGGTTGACTAAGCGAAGGCTGGATCATAAGAATAACACAACCAAATTTAAACGCGTTTCGACAGATCCACAAGGAAGCTTTGTGATCAGTTTGCTATACGGCTCAAGAATGCAAGTTCCAAGACAGCAACACGCCGAGTTCAGGGGGATGAAGCCGCATATCTACTTGATGGCATTTACATACGTGCTACTCAATTGTTTATCCACCTTCACGTTATAATAACACCAATTTTGACACCATCGAGAACATGCTCTGATAGACAACTGTGTACATTGGGACTTTGCAGGCTTATTCCCAAGATTTCCAACATCTTTCAATCGTTCCATTTCTTAGACTTAAGAATCGGCCTAGACTAAACACTCTTTTACATAAAGTCAGAGCCATCTAGTAGGCATAAAGAGCGACCGCCTCGTTCTCTGACTCAAGAATCTTGCGGTTGAGTCTCTTCAGCCAGAACCTCATGGCCCAGGCACACATAATGCTTGTGGCGGCAAAGGCCACCATGGTAGAGAACCCCATAAGATAATCCGGGCCATCGGAGGAAGGCCAAAGGTAAGCGCAGTAGATATAAGCCAAGTTGGCTGTGACATTGACCAGAGCATACGCCACCGACTTCTTCTCAGGAGTTTGGGAGAGGGTATTACTGACCCATCCCAGTATAACAGACCCGACCGAGTAAGCGCCAGTGGCATAAAGGAAAGTGGCTGTGTATCGCACTGCTACATTGACAGTCGCGCATGACATCACAAATCCGATGACGGCGAGAGAGAGGCCTGCGGTGATGTGCCAAGTGCGCTCGTTGAAGTGACCAGATGACCATGCGAATGGAATACCAAGAATGCCAGAAACAAAGTATGGGGGTGCTGTTAGGAGTAAGGCCGTAGTAGACTTGAACCCCATTGCACGGACGATGGTTGGGAAGAAATTGTTGAAAGAGCATGCGCTGGAATGTAGTTAGTATGTCGAGCTAGTAACAGCGACATCTTGGAGCAACGTACCTGATGTGGAGGTTCTGCATAAGACAGAAAAGCCAGGTTCGAGGATCTTTGCAAGCTTGCTTGAGACCTTCCCAAGTAGTGCCTCGAACCTGCTGGCCAACGGTATCTCGGCTAATTCGTTTGATGCAAAGCTCACGCTCTTCAGGGGTGAGCCATCGAGTCTCAGAAGGGTCATCAGGGAGTAGAAAGAAGCCAAAGATGGCAACAAGAGCCGTCACTGAGCCTTCGATGATGAAGAGCCTAAGAGTCCACACATTAGTAACTAAGCCTTGTAACTGATTGAAAGCTGTTCACTCACCACTGCCAGCCAGCAATTCCCTTTACTTGGTCTAGTGTAGAGAATGTAGCTGCCGCGATAAGCCCTGAACATCCAGTGCTTACGACTTGGCCTGTATAGAGAAGAGAAATTCGTGTAGCGAGTTCTTTCCGAGTGTAGTAGATCGACAGCAAATACAAGGCGCCTGGGTAGAATGGCTGTGATTAAGGGCTTAGTACAGGTAGTTGTTATTAGAAGCTGGCAACTACTTACAGCCTCAACAAAACCCAAGAAGAAGCGACAAGCAATCAGGCCAGGGTAACTCTTGACAGTGGCGGTACAAGCTGAGACGGCGGCCCAACCAATCATGCAACAAGATAAGTATATGGACGGTCGAGTTCGTGTCATGAACATGTTTGAGGGAACTGTCAAATGTCGGAATTAGCGTTGTGTTTTATGATGATTGGAAAGCAGAGCATACTTTGCATCAAGAGATAACCAACGAATAGAATCGAGATGGCAGTGTTGTACTCAACTCCTTTCAGGTTAAGGTCTTTCTCGAGGCTGTTCAAGCGTGCTTGGGGTAGAGCATTTCGGTCAAGGTAGTTGAGAAAGTACATGGCCCAGAGAATAGGCTTACTCAATTAGCAATTCTGCGTGAAGATATCGCTAGTCCTTGGTTGCAAGGCTCACCATGATCATCCTGTCTAGCTTCCGGACCAAGGCAATCTCAGCAGGGTCAGTCTTGGTTGCAGCACCCGAGTAGTCTCCGAGGTGGTTATGAGCTTCGTTCTGCTCGAGGACCTTCTCATCGTGGACGGCCTCGAAGCCAGTGTCAGGTTTCGCATCGTTTGAAGGGCTGGACATTGAGGCCTCGGGAGGGATAGCCATGGCTGCGCTACAGAGGATAAAGAAGGATTGGCAAATTAAGAGCTTGTTGCGGGGAGATTAAGATGGCTACACCAGGAACTCGAACGCTGGAAGTCTGGAAGCACGAGGATGGATACCATGTCGAGAGCGTCTGCGTGTTCTTATAAATTCCTGAAGCCCGTCTCTGGCCCAAGCCATTAAGCTCAACACTCCATCCGTATACCCCATGGAGAAGAATTAGTCGCGGGGATAATGCGGAGTAGCAATAGAGAAAACCGTTGGACAATCGATCTCTGTTGATCATGGGGGCAAGCCTTTTTGCCGTTATCCCGTTATTCCGTTATCCCGCCGCGCCAGTCATGCTTATCCCGCTTTAAGCGAGCCCAACGTCGTATTCCGTTCCCCACTATTTTTGAAAGGCGGGACGACAGTATCGGGATAGGGAAAGTGATTGGTGAATTCCAGTGAGGGCCATCGACTTGGGCTCGGGAAACAAGAAATAATACAAGGTGTCAAAATAAACTTAGCAAAGAGTACCCTAAGTTTAGGCTAGATTTACCGAAACATTTTTATCGCTTAGGGTCAAGGTCCTGAGTTTTCTTTCCTCCTCTACCATAGGTACTGGTCATGTTATGCTGTGGAGCTCTCATGATGGATGAGTACATACATAAACCTCCTCGTCCCTGTTATGAGAACCCAGAAGGATTCATGATTCTGGCTTTCTGACCTCAATTTTTAGCTTTGAGTACCCCGAGCACACAAAAATGGCTGCTGCTACCGTTCATGATACTTCTCTGTTCAGAGACACTTTCGGAACACAAGAAATTCGAGAGTGTTTCTCTGAACGATCATATGTCTCAAAATTGATCGAGGCGGAATGCGCCTTGGCTCAAGCTGAGGAAGACCAAGGTGTCATTCCTCCAGGAATTGCCAAAGTCATTCGTGAGCATTCTGATGTATCGAAAATTGATTGGCCTCTGCTTGCAAAGCGAGCGGAGGTTGTTGGCTATCCCATCCTTGGTCTGGTCGAGCAAATGGCTTCTTGGGTTCCTCATCAGCAATGTGAGTAGAGAAAGACTTGTCTGTATCAAGCAGTGCGGCAGCTAACAAGGATAGCCGGATATATTCATTGGGGCGCTACAACACAAGATATCATGGACTTGGCTTCGCAATTACAGATCAAAAGTGGCATCGCAATCGTGGAGCGCCACCTGAACGAGACAATTAGTATTCTCGAGTCCATGTCTTCCAAATACCGCGACACACCGATGGCGGGCCGGACACATCTACAACACGCTCTGCCCATCACCTTTGGTTACAAATGTGGTGTTTGGCTCTCTGGGCTCCGACGACACGCCGAGCGTCTCCAGCAAATCAAGGAACGGTGTCTTCTTGTGCAATTTGGCGGCGCTGCTGGTACTTTGGCTTCGCTGGGTAGCTCAGATGACGGTATTCGAGTGCGAAAGAGGTTAGCCGTCATCTTGGGTCTCAAGGACCCTGTTATCACCTGGCACGTCGCCCGAGATACCATTGCTGAGGTTGTGAACTTTTTGGCATTGGTTGGAGGCTCATTGGGAAAGATTGCGCTTGATTTGATGATCATGTCGTCTAACGAGTTGAATGAGGTCAGTATATCACCATCGACTTCCATAAGCGCGAGCTGATATTAATTAACTTTCAGGTTGCCGAGCCCTTTGTACCTCATCGAGGAGCATCATCGACCATGCCGCAGAAGCGAAACCCTATCTCGAGCGAGATTATCCTAGCACAATCTAAGATCCTTCGGGCACAAGCAGGGCTGGTCTTGGATGGTATGGTATCTGACTTTGAGCGTGCCTCGGGACCTTGGCACCTGGAGTGGGCAGCACTTCCAGTCGCGTTCATCTCGGTAGTCGGCTCACTTTATCAAGCCAACTTTGCATTATCAGGCCTACAGGTTAACTCGGGCGCAATGAAGACCAACCTAGAGTCGACACGGGGACTTATTGTTGCTGAGGCTGTTATGATGAAGCTGGCTCAGTTCATCGGACGACAGGAGGCTCATGAAGTAGTCTATGGTGCGTGTGTGGCCGCCATCGAGGGAAATTTGTCCTTGATAGAATCACTGCAGAAGATTGGGCAAGTTACGAAGCATCTGAGCACAGACCAGCTGATGTCATTGGTCGATCCAACGCAATACCTCGGTTGCTGTCAGTTAATGGTTGACGAACTCTTGAGACTAAGGGCGTCAAAGCTTTGAGACGGAAAAAGGCATCAGATAGCGTTATAATTATTAGTATTACTGTACATATCTAAACTGGTATGCGAGATCCCCAGAAAGTGGCCTGTCTCACTGCTGCACCAAAGTCATCAACGTCAGTGTCCATAGCTTCAGTTATTGGTGGTGTCGGAAGTTACCGTCTGAAGCTGTTCATTGGCCCAGCACAATGGAACTTGCCGCAGACCCACTGAGATGGCAGGCTGGCCAAAGCTAAGCCAACCCAAATGTACCTTTGCTTACCCTACATTTTCTTCCCTCTACCGGTACTCCCGTCAGGCGTATTATCTCCACTTGAGTACTCCGTACACCTTCCTTCGTCATCACACTTTCTTGGCATACAAGTGTTAAGAAAGTGGCCCTGTCTACACCAAAATCCTTAACAAGTGCACAACAAACATTTCAATCTGCGCTTTGCGCAGTCGCAAGTCGCAGCGATGGCTTCGTCTCCGACGATCCCGCCTGTCGCCCCGGACCCCTTCGATCTAGGGGTCCACACTCCCGCTAATCTGAACCGAAGAGCCCGTGCAGCCCTCTTGCAGAACAGCCCCGCGGTCGTGAACAGCCCCATTGGTGTTTCACCCAGACCTGGGCGGACGGCCCAGACACCGTCCTCGCCACTCAACGCCGCCACCACTGCTGCAGCTACGGAAGGAGCTGAGCGTGCCAATCCCGCATCGACCCCTGAACAGCAACCAATCTCTATTATCGAATCGGCCAATGATCTCGCGCGTAAACACGCGGAAGAGTACGACGCCAAACTAATGGTCTTCCAGGCCTTCTGCGCCAAGCTTGAAGAAGCCAACAAGCAATTCACCTCCGGACCGCAGCGACGTTTCGCTCAGAAGTTTGTCGACAGCGTCCTTGACGCCTGGAAACGAGAGCTTTCTAGCGATGTACCAGCTTCTAAACCTACCTACAGCAGTGTCGCCGCCGCCTCGCTCCCCGCTGACCGCGCCCGCACAGCCCACCAGCATCATCATCATCAACAACAACAACAGCACCGACAATCGGGCCCACCTCATCGCCAAGAGCAACAAGCCACCATCGCCGCCCCACCCCGACAGGACCTCCGCGTCTTCGTCCGTCTAGAAGCCGGAGCTCCGGCTAGGGACCATAGCGGCTATGCCATCCGGACCCTGATCAGGGAAAAACTCGGCACCGTCTCGGACAAGGTCCGACAGGTATTCCAGGTCAGGTCGGGATGGGCAGTCCTGACTGCCGACCATGAAACACGCGATTTTCTCGTAGAGAAGCAGGCCGAGTGGGCGGCTGAGCTGGGAGCTACGGCGGTAGAAACAAACAAGGAATGGCATACTTACGTGGTCTCAGACTTTCCCAGAAGACTGACCGACTTTCGCGGCAACGAGGTGGATAGTGACAGCGTTGTCAGTGATGAGATAGAAATCCAGACAGGGCTCAAGCCCGTTGATATACGTCCTGGAAGACAATTCTCGGATAACCCTTTGACCAAGACTCTCCTTGTCTCCTTCCTGAAGCCCACCAAGAAGAGGTTCTGGTCCCTCTTCGGGAGCCGGGCGGCCAGACTCGTAGACAAAAGCGACGTACCCAAGCAGTGCGAAACGTGCTGGGGCTACCACTTTACCCGCAAGTGCCATAGACAGCCAGTCTGCCAACGCTGTGGCAAGACTGGCCACTCTGGAGACGACTGCGCTGCATGGGAGCAGTGCGTCAATTGCTTAGGCCCTCACGATGCCAGCCTTCGTACGTGTCCAGCCCGGCCGAAGAAAGTGCGTGGCGTCCTCCGCCGGCTCAGCAAAGAACAACGGGAACACATAGAGGGCCTGAGACGTACCGACAACGTCACTTGGATTCACAACCAGAATCCCACATAGAAATCCGACAAGACACGACCGAGCTGCTGAGGGACGATACCCCAGCAGACGAACGTCCAGACGCTCGAGACTCGAGCCCGGCCGGCGTCACGAGCACTCGTGATATGGTGGCCACCGCCCCCAGGGCGGGTTATGAAATGGAGGAGCCCGAGCATCCTAGACCAGGCTCGCCACGAAAGCGTCGAATTGTACTCATTACTCGTCCTCATGACCAGGAATAGATATTCGCAGACACGAAAGAACGACAGGAAGCCGCTAAGTCGCATTGCAACCCCCGACTGCGCTCTGGCACTGGCTGACTCGGAACGATATGACATCGTGCTCCTGCAGGAGCCGTGGACAGCCCATACGAAAACGCCTTGCTTGACAGACCCACTACACCTCACCCAGTAGAGTCCTGGGACAGTAACGATACTCGACCTAGAGTGATGACATATGTCCGACGAGACCCAAGGCTTCTCGCTGACCAGATACGACCGTTCCAGACTCGCGATATTCTCTGGATCACAATCAATGGCGTGACTGTAGTCAACTTCTACCGCCAGAACGACGAAAGGGATGCCCTTGACACGCTGCTCCGATGGCCGCCCGGAAGCTGCCTCGTCGCTGGCGATTTCACTGAACAACGCAGAAGGGCAGACTACGGACCGCGGCCAAGAGATTGCCGGTTGGGCATCAGAGAATGACATCGACCTGCTTAACACTTTAGATATCCCACCAAACCCCGAACACAATCGCTTTTGCCAACATCCCACTTGCTGAAAGCCACTGTTGAGGACCATTCCCGTCGCCACTTCACCCTCAGCTTGACTCTCCCCAACATAAAGCCCGCTCCACTACAGCCGGGCAAGATTCGAGTGACGACAGAAGATGAGCTTAAACGATCCGTCGAGACCGTAGAGCTTGAGCCACAGAGACCCCCTCAGAGATTCAACGCCCGCGGAGCTGGACAATTGTTCACTTGTAAATCTGCTAACATCAGCAGCGAAGGCAGTGGGTCGGCCCTCACGGAAAGGTGGCTGCCCAGCTCCATGGTGGACAGAAGAGTGCGCCTGTGCGGCGGCTGCATTCGGCCTCAAGAGACCCCCTAGCTTCAATCAGGATGTTAAGATCGCCAAGAGAGACTTTCATCGCGTGGTCCGCCGAGCAAAACGAAAGTACTGGCGGGAACTCATCGATAGCTTCTCCAGCGCAGTGCTGTCTTAAGCCGTCGGGGCAAATCCGGGGCCTTCCAGCCGCCTCCCCTGCAGGTCGACGACGCTGTATACGAAACTCAGATGGACAAGGCGAGCGCACTTCGGGGAGCGTTACTGGAACGCGGAACTTCTGATGACGATATTGACCCGAACGTCTCCTCCTCGATCGATCACATTCTCACCCGAGTCCCTAGACGAGGCACAGCATGCGACTATCCATACAGGCAATACTTCCCCTGGGGCGGATAGCATCACCGTCAATCTTCTCAAACCCGGGTGGCACATCGTCGGTACGTGTTTGTTCGAAAGGTGCCTTCTTGGGTCATCACCCGGAACCATTCAAGCAGGCGGAGGTGGTCATGATCGCGAAGCCGGGACGACGAGACCTCACAAAGCCAGGGGCTGGCGACCATCTCCTTGCTCTCCTGTCTCGGAAAGGGGCTGGAAAGATTGATCGCTCGCCGCTTGGCGTGGGCAGCTGTTCACTATGGGCCTTCAAAAGCGGCGCTCCCCCAAAGGTCGGCAACAGACCTGGTGACCGCCTTGATCCACGATATCGAAGAAGCATTTGCACGCAAGAAGGTGGCCACCCTGGTCACGATGGATATCCAAGGTCCCCTTCAACCGTGCGAAGAGACTAGTCTTGCGTCTCCGTGAACAGGGCTGGCCCGACCATCTCGTCAGATGGGCTGAGTCCTTCATGAAGGATCGTTCAGCCCGCGTGAGGTATCAAGAACCCTCACGCCCTTCGCTCCTCTCCAGTGTGGACTGCCTCAAGGCTCACCAGTATCGCCCATCCTCTTCCTGCTCTACACTGAGCCAATCCACCGACTAGGCAACCCCAGGGCCGCTTCGGCTACGCAGACGACACGGCTATCCTTTCTATAGGCGACACAATAGATGAAACCACTGCACCGGCCTCCAGCTCCATCGGCGAGATGGTTCGATGGGGTGCAGCAAATGGCGTTTCGTTTGACCCGAAAAAGACCGAAGTCATGCACTTCTCTCGCAGCAACCTCAGGACCACGCCGGCTATCGCCACGGCGATGTCGAGAAGCCCCCCGAGCCAGCCTACCGGCGGGTGGGTGACAGCAGGCTACCGTTCCGCGTTCACGTCGAAAAGTGGGCGGCCAAGGCGCATGCCGTCGCCTATCATCTACGGGGTCTCGCCAACACGAAGGCCCTCCCAAGCCGTGAAGTGCCGTCATGGCTTGTGTCGAGCCGGTACTATTGCATGGATCTGAAGCCTGGTACCCGGGCACCACCAGACCGCGATGGAGTCAGCCTATAGAGACACGCCATCGAGCAATCAACATCTCATACAAAGAATGAACAAGGCCTTACACCAGTCCATGAGAGCCATACTGCCCATCTGGAAAACGACGCCCATCACCATCCTCCACCCCGAGAGCGCCATACCCGGACTTGGAAAAACGGCGATGGAGATTCTCCGCGCGGCTCAAATCACTTGACGACGCTCATCCTCTTGTGCGGAGAACGTTGCCAACCCTACTACTACCACGATTCATAAAGCGAAGGTATCAACAGGCAGAAAATAGCTTTAGAACACGACTCCGACGCACAGATGAGCTTCTTGTCTCGTGCAGGCGTCCTAAGCTCCTCCAGAAACGCTTCCAACAAGAAGAGATGCCACCCTTGCAGACAGCATCAAAGGAGAAGACAGCCAAGGCCTTTCTCCGCTGGGTC